GTTCAGGGGATCTCGTAGTCGAGCAGTCTCGACTAGAGCTTTCTTACTTGTTTTTGTGTGGATTTGCAGTGGTTAAGACTGTGACTGGGAGCTGAATGAGAGCTGAGCCAAGATCAACGCCGACAACAACAACAGATGAAGATAACTCTGCATATTTTTGCTAACAGAGTTGTGCTTCTTCTTCTGATTTTGCTACTGCTGTTGGCCTTCAGCTCTTCGACCAGTTGCTTCTTTACCTGTTTTCTAATTGGTATACACACAAATGCTAAGGTTTCTTCTGATGCTGTCGCTGCGGCTGCCTATCCTATACACACAATTTTTATTGGTTGATCTGCGAATTCCTATTTAGTTATGATTTACTTTGGAAGCCATGATTTGATATGTATTTTAAAATGTTATGCCTGATCAGACTTATCTATCTGGATTAGACATAGGATATAATAGAGCATAAATATGCAGAACTCATTGTAATTCCAATTCCACATACATATGTACATAACTAAAATACTTAATTTAATTGATATAAGCAAGCGATCAGAAACAGCTAACCAAAATGAGCTCACACAATTCAAATTCCATAATTAGTATACAAATGGCGGCGCACTTGCTGCAAACAATCGGCTTCAGCTAAAATACTTGTTCAAAAAAAAAAAAAAAAAGAATAACAAAAATAAGACCAATGACAAAAAAAATGAGTATAAAAAAAGCTCGTTCGGATTTCATTTTGACTTTGATTTTGAGTTTTTTTTTAAACTATAGAGTCCCGCTGCTGTTTGTTGTTGCTGGCGGGTCGTCGTGTCGTGTCGATCGTATCGAGTTTGTTTTTATCATTTATATTATATTCCACATAGCATACATGCTCATATGTGTGCATGTACATATGTATGTATTCGATGGTTGTTGTTGCAGTTTGTTATAAACAAGCTGCGGCGAAAATCAGAAGAGCGAAACACTAACCAAGGCGAGAGAGGCAGCAGACAGCAGAGCGAGATTCAAGTCCCCCACAACAAAACGCATGAAAATACTTGAGCGAAACGAGTTAAAAACGATTTCATTAATATGTTTTTGTTGTTGGTTTCTTCTTCTTTTTGCTCGTTGCTTCTGCAAAAGATACCCTTCCGATCGAGCATAGCACTTTTCTAGCTGCATGCGACCGATGCTTGGCTCACTTTCGAACATCTTCTGGGAATGGAAGGCATGAACTCTTTTCTATAGGATTCATGTTGCACCCTGAAAGTATGCTATATGCATTTTAAGTGTGTGAAAAGGACATGTATTTTTGAAAATGGGAACTCAGGGTATAATGGTTTTGTGACAAGTATGTAACGGGCGGAAGGAATTATCGCAGACCGCATAAAGTATATATATTCTTGTTCAGGTCGATGAGGTGAGTCCATATCGCCCTGCCGACTGTCCGTCCGACCGTCCGTATGTGCGTCGATATCAGAAGTTGTAAGTGCTAGAGAGCTGAAATTTGGCATTCATGCTTGTGTGTAGCATACGCAGTACAAGTGCGCAGTTGGCAGAACGCGGGCTTATATGTGCGTGTGGATTCATGTGTATGTATGTGTGCATTAAAGAAGTGCGGAATGAATAGAATATCAGACTGGAGGGCTCAGAGTATCTCCTAATCGAACAGTCTCAACTAGAGCACTCTTACTTGTTTTCAATATACTCGACCATTAATAAAGAAGGCAAAGTAGTTGATTATTTTAAAACGACAAGTAATAACTTTGTTTTAAACGATTTTAGTTGGCTCTAAGTGAAACTTTGTTACATTATCTACGTTTCCATAAAGATTCTCCATGTTTCTAAAGAATGTAAAATTGAAAGATAGGGTATGTCAGTTGTTGTGTGCTTCAAGAATAACACACTCGCTTTGGTGTTGCTGTTGTTGCTATTGTTCGCTGCTGTGCGCTGCTGTGCGCTGGCCTGGCTATTTTTAAAATGCGCGAAAGCAACAAGGGAGAATGCGAAGCAAAACTTAACCCAGCAGCATCGCCATCATTGTTGCTTTGCATTTGTTGTTGTTGCTTTAACTTTTGCTGCTGCGTTTGTCGCATAAGCAATGTGGAATATGGAATTAAGAGTGCTGTTCCCATACAAACAAACCCCTGAGAACGCTCCCACACACACACATACACGCATAGAGAAGCTTATGACTGCCGCGACTTTATTGTTGTTGTAGTAGTAATAGTAGTAGTTGTTGGTGCGTGCAAATTGGAGCAAAACATACATAGTTGTGCGCCGTCAGCAGTGCTGCTCACAAAAACATCGGTTTCCTGCTGCAGCCGGAGGAGTGGAGAGGGGAGAGGGAAAACGCCAGACGGCAGTGAAAAAGAGAAAGAGAGTGTGATAGAGCGGCCAGACGATGCAGACGGTGGGTCAGAATCAGACAGGACAGAACCGTTGTATGATAACTCATTTGTTCTTGTTCGCGCCGCTGTGGGTGATGTCGTCACTGAATGATGCTGACACTGGCGGCAGCATCAGCAGCAACAACAAGATCAGAACTCCATAACATACGTATGCACATATGTATGTACTTCCATCAATTGGGTCATACTGGCGTCGTCTCTCTTTCTATCTCCCTCTGTTAGCGACATTGCTAAACTTAATTTCTTTTCTTTTTATACTCGTTCACGAAAGTGAATTAGTATATTGGTTTTGTGCAATGTCCGTCCTGTCCGTATAAACACAATTTTCGGCGCTATTGAAGCTAGAGACTTGAAACTTGGAACACATACTCGTGTATGTCTCCGATTTAAAAGGTGTCCAAATTTTCCCGATCCGCTACTAGGGGCGTGGCGAATCGGAAAATGCATTTTCCGATATACCAGAAATCAGATTAGTTGAAGAGCTAGAAAGCTGAAATTCCGAATATAAATCCGCATCGACCATCCTAGAGTTTTGAACCCAGAACGATAAACGATAAAGATTAATGCCAAAATTATATGTATATGCCCATTAGGGCGTGGCAAATCGGAGCTGAAGATAAATGGATTCTTCAAATTCTGCTATATTTTGGACACTATTGATGCTAGAAACCTCAAATTTGGTATTTATATTATATATGGAGTAATCCGCAGTCTGTAACGCCCGGCTGCAACGTTCTTACTTGTTTTTTATTTGCAACATCACACCTCATTGATGAAATGATTAATCGTTATTATTTATGTATACACACATTTGTACGTATGATTAACAAATAAATAAACAACAATTCGTTCGTATAAACGTTCGTTCCAAACGGTGCCGAGGCGTAAAGCGGATGTTTAAACGATTTATATAAAGCACGCCTGAAGATTCCCCTGACTTCGCCCCATCAGAAACATTGTGGTGGCATTTGTGATAAGCGAGCTTTGTAGAGGAGCTTGTTTCTCTGCTGACCGCCTCGGGAGTTCAACGGAGTTCAACATGAACTCAAGAAAAAAACGGAGAATTAGAGACAAAAAGATCTGAATAGGTGGCTTGATGGCCTCTAGCTTACAGATTAATCAAAAATGTTAATATTTGATGATATAGAAGAACAGGTAAAATTTGAAAGAAAGAAGAAACAAGTAAGAGTGATCTACCGAGGAATGCACGACTAAGATGCACCCTCTGCACTTATAGCTTTTCTTCTAGATGGATCTTTCGACCACTATATACATATAACCACTAACCATAGAACACATAGACTAAATGATCCCGTTCTATGCGCTTTGCGTTTTTTGTCATACTCTCTCTCTCACACTCTATCTCTCTTCTCTCTTTCTCTCTCTCTCTCTATGGGCTCTCAAAGAGGAGATACAAAATCTTTGTATTTATTACGAGAACCATTTGTTATTATATTTCAGCCATGCATAAAAATAGAGAAACGGAATACCCATTATAAAGTCTAGTCATAGTTTTTAATTATCAAATATCAACCATGTACATTTTATGGACAGACCTAGAAACAAGCTAAACCTCTAATTGCATGCATACGGAACTATGGATTACTCTACCTGGAAAAAGGATGTGCGAATCACTTGCGATTGCAAATTTATGAGACTGTTACACAGTTTTCTTCATCTGTTTGTTTTTCTTGTGGTACACAGCTGCTCAGATTTGTAATGATCAGCTGCTGGGTTCGTCGATATATGTATGTATGTACATACATATTTTCTTTCATGTAACAATGGGACAATGTGTGCCAGATATAACGCAAAAGTCGTCGGGCCGTCGATGTCCTTTCTTTAACTTTTCACTCTTCATGGCAGCTGCTTTTCCAAAATTTTGCATCATCTGTGGATGAAATAGACTCAAGTAAGCAAACAGACTTTATACGCGTCAAAAAAGTGAAAGAAGTATATTGGCTTGGCAAAATTCCGTCTCTCGTATACCTTGAGAGAATTTGAATAATATAATTATGTATCAATACCTTCCAAGATTTCATAAATACTGTCAAAATTGTGTATTCCG